GCTCATGCAGCTGGGGGGAAGGCTCAGGCTCTGTGGAGGAATGCTTATTAAAAGGGTGGCCCCTCAGAAGTCACCCCCATCGGTAGAATCGGTTTCGAGGGCTGCCTGGTTCCATGGGTCAACCTTAAAGAAACCCTGGAAGAAAGTTGGGGCCTTGCCAAAATCTCCAGACCCTGCGGAAAAACCCGGACTACATTTCCCAGCAAGCTCTGCGGAAAACTTCCGCTTTAGGAAGCGAGTGCAGGTCCAGGCGGCGCCATGGCAACCGGGAGCTGGGCTGGGTGAGCTTGTTGCCGTGGAAATGCGCAGTGATTGATGAGCCTCGCGCGGCTTCGCCGGAGGCCAGGAGTCCTTGAGTCCCTACCTCGTCCTCACTGTCCCGCTGGGCAGCCAGAATCCCGAGTCCAGAGCCGCCACCCCGGTCCCTGTCCAAATCTTTCCGTTTGCTGGGCGCCCCCCACCCTCACCTCCGCTCCCAGCGGACCGCTCCACGCTCCTGGGCAAGCGCAATCGCCGACCTTCGCTCCCTGGCCAGACTACGTTTCCCAGAAGGCTCCGCGCGCCCACTCGGGCGCCCTTTGCCCCTCCCCCACCCTAGCCTCCTTCTCCGCCTCCAGTCTTCCCAGTCCTCAGAAGTAGCGGTGGTCGCAACGAACAGATCGCGCTGCGGGCCGCCTGTTCCTGCGTTTCCCGTCTCGGATCCCGGCGTCGGCCCTCGTCGACGTGCGCAAGCTTCTCGGGGTTCAACCTCCATCAACACCACCTTCCCTACTGCGCATGCCTCTCATGTTTCTTCAATTCTCTACAGGTTTTACGGGATTAGCAGGACGCTGCACCAATCACCACCCTCGCCAAGATGCCGTTAAACCCGCCCGCCTCCCGCGTCTGCATGGAAACTTTGTGCCGGCAGGGGGCGCAGTCTTAGACGCCTACCGGCCGCACAAAGGGGACGCTAGGATCAGTGGTTTCTGGGAGGTGTAGTCGGTGCGGCCCTCCGAGTAGGCATCCTTGGCGCGATGACATTCTTTTGTACTTTGGGGCGGTGGGCAGGCCCGGGCGTCTCCAAGGCAACCAAGGGCGGAGAGCGAGCTCCTCACTGACCGAGAAGGGATAGAGAGATGCAGAGACATTGCCTGGTCGTGCGCCATCCTCATAGTCCTTCCTATATCTGAGCCTATCGTGGCAGTCACTCTGTCAGTTCATATAGTTGACTTGGGGCCAGGGAGAGACACAAGGCAGAGTCAGAAGCCCAGAGCCTGTCAGGGCAAAGAGAGATGTGAAGAGAGAGACTCAGAGGTTGCGTGAACTGAGGCAAGTAGAGACAGATCCAACGTCTGTGGTGGGAGAAAATAAGGGTAGATAGAGATGGGGGGTGAGACAAAGAGACTTGGGGCAGAGAAACAGGCTCAGGGGCAAGGACAGATGCAGACACCAGGGCGGAGTCAGAAACCCAGAGCCAGTGAAGCAGAGAGAGGTGTGAGGGAGAGACAGGGAAAGTAAGTGAACAAGACATAGAGATCAAGAAACACAGAGACACAGGTTGAAGAGCATGCCAATGAGACAAATTTAAATTCTCAGAGACCTAGTATGATAAGAAACCAAAGGATCAGAGTCATGGTTGGAGAGGTAGATGTACCAAAGAGCGAGATGGAGGTCAAGTTAGATAGATCAAGAAGGAATGAAGAAGAGAGGAGACAGAGACTAAGAGGAGGGAGGATGAATCCACAAAGGCAGAGGTGCATGAGATTCAAGGGGCAGCCAGGGGTACAGAGCGGACAGGAGAAAGGGGCAAAATTAGAAGTGCAGTCAGATGGGTTGAGACTTTTCAAAGATTTCAGAAAAAGATGGCAGACGAGAGATGGGGAGAGTCAGAGGGAGACTTGATGTCAGTTTGGCTCTGAGTCAAGTGACCCTTCGTACAACAGAACGAAACACTGCTTGGTTGTGCGCCATCCTCACAGTCCTTCCTATATCTGAGCCTATCGTGGCAGTCACTCTGTCAGTTCATATAGTCGAGGGCCTTCCCCTTTTTCGCTGACCCTGCGCTCTGCCAAGCATGATATCCTTCTCCAAGGAATGATCCTTTCTGACAACATGACCAAAGTTGTTGTTAGGTGCCGTCGAGTCACTTCTGACTCATAGCGACCCCATGCACAGCAGAACGATATACCGCC